GCCTCCTTTCTCACATGAATGCGTGACATCCGAGTTTGGGGCAGTGTGGGTTTTAGATGACGACCCACTTGAGGGTTTCGGTTTCCCGCGGACGTGATGAGAAGCTGGTGAAGAGTGTGCGCAGGGGAGTGAAGTGGGCAGAGAGAATGGATGGAGGCCGCAGGAGGAGGGGACGGCCCGCTGGAGGAGCCGTGGGTCGTGGCTGCAGTGTGCCTCTCAGTGTGGGGGCCAGAGTGGCAAGACAGGGGAGGTGGGGTGAGAAAGGCCCCGAATGCTGCGATGAAAGGTTTTGAACTTGACCCTGGGGAGAGTAGAAGCCTTGAAAGATTTAAGTAGGGGAGCAAGAAGATCAAATGTGGGTTTTAAGACCACTCTGCTCCGTAGGGGGGATTGGGTTGCAGGGGGAGAGGTGGGATTTGAGTCAGACCACACCAGGCGCTGTTGTAAATGACCTCTATGCGCTTATATATGCGTGTTTCTGCATGTGAACTTAGCGTACGTGCACGTGTGTTCGCTCCCTCCAAGAGCAACGGATGGGGTGTTACTGTTCATGCATTTCAGAGACCAGGAGGCTAGACCGAAGGAGGCTGAGCGAGGCCCCCTCGCTAACAAGTCATAGAGCCGGGGCTGGAGCCGTTTTGGCTCCAGAGTCCGTGTGTGTGTCTTTACGCATCACATTATTTTGCTGGTTATATTTTAGTGGTAGGGTCATCATCGTCATATTTTATTTAATAATATAGTTAATAATGCCATTTTAGTGTTCTGTTTAACACAGCTAGTCATTTACTTTGTCAACTTTTTTATTACATTCACTCATTCCTAACTAGAAATTTTAGTGAATTAGCTTTCTGTAAGACAATCATCCAAAAGTTTCAAATTCAGTTATTCCAGTAGCGGTTATTAATGTCTTCTTGGTCAACTGTAAACTTTGTGTGGGAATCTCTACTGCAGATGTCATGGTGGGGTGTTTTCAGGGTCTTCCGCGGACACGTGTGAAAGTTCAGGGAGCAAGACATCTCCTCACTAAGCATGTCCCAACGCCCGTGGCATTATACTTCCCACGAAGAGCTGTTCCAGCTGTGTCCTCCCAGCTTATTTGTATGTATAATGCACAATCAAAAAATTAAACTGAGTTCTTTGAAGAGGGAGAACGCTGCTCTGACCGTTGCCGAAGATGCCACAGTGCCTTAGCGCGCTGTCGGTGGGCTCCATCAGTGCCCATATCTGCAGTGAGGAGTACGTACGCCCATCTGTCCAGACCACCACATGAAGGTGAGTGGCGCAGTGAAGCGAGTGCATTGGTCTTTTTGCTGGCAGAGGACCTTGCCTTCCCTTTGTCAAAAACAAGACACCCGTGAAGCAGAATAAAGCAGAGGGCAATAAAACGAATGCAGCTGCGTCACTGGAGCAACCGGAGAGAGTCCAGGTGAGAGGATATCTTCACCCTAAGTCTTCACGGTTTCCAGCGGTCGGCTGGGACCAGGTTGCTGCTTTCTCCTGTGAACTCCAGGGGATTTTCTGTTACCTTGTATGTTTAACTGAGCTTCCCTATGCAAGGACCCGGAGTACCCTCCAACTGGATTTTCTTTTTATGTATTGGTTGTCTTGATGCTATAAGACTGTGACCAGACACATTCATAAGGTGTTGCATGATTTCCAAGACAACAGCAATTAGGGGTCATCGGCATCTCGTACTTTATTAGTTGGCTAGTTTTATAATGTTACGCAGAAATGGATTTTCGGTTGAAACCAGCTCTAATACTGATATCTCGCTATGTTCAGGAATATAAGATCTTTGCGTTCAGAGGGCCCCCAGCAGGTGCCCTTCACTGTTCCATCCATTCCCTGCAGCATCCGCAAGGTGGGCCATCTTCACGCTGTCAGAGACCCGAGTCTGGACGGGCCTTGTGAACTAAAACATAGAACAAGAGTAATTTCATCTTTTGTGTGCTGTTGCCAAGTTGGTACTTGTGGGGATTAACACCGAAACGGCTTGATTAACTGACCTTAATTCTAAAATTGTTTTATGGTAGTTATCAGAAGAAATTTAACAAGTGGGCCAGAACAAATGCTGCCTATCCAGCTTTTGATTCCTTGTTTTTAAATACATGTGAAGGGAAAAGGAGAGGAAAAGTAGGCAGAAGGGCTCGGAATCTGTGCCCCTCGGTGTTCGAGGAAGCCCCAAGCAGCCTCCCTTCACACCTCAGTGGGCGCGAGCTTCCCGGCCCCGCAGCCCCAGTTGGCATCCCAGCTGTCTCTCCTTCGCCAGTGATTGAGGTGATTAAGGGACTTACGAGGACTTCATGGCGGCCAATTGCACCCCCTGCCCCCTGTGGGGCTGCAGTGACAGCCACCAGAGACAGGAGGGCACCTGGCAGGGACACGCACTTGCCACTGTTCCTCTTGCCTCTGCATTTCCCTTTCTCCTCTCCCATGTTTTCTGTCTCCACTTATCTTAGGTCACTTACCAAATTCTTTCTTTTTGCATCCATTTTAATCCGTTTCAGAGATTTCTCCAAAAAAGATAATGCCGATAATGCATACTTCAGCACCAGCGTTTAGTGATCTCTCTTTATGTCCCAGGGAGAGCAAGTACATTTCCTGCAGTTTTTAGTTTCGTTTTCACAAGGACCCGGGAAGCTGGGTGTGATGGAGTCTTCTAAGACACTAAGTGAGGGATGGAGTCCGGGGAGGAACCCAGGCCTGTCTCACTGCAGCATGCTCGATGGCTCTGCGCCTTGCTCCAGTGATCTCGCTGTGGGAGTGCTCAGTTCTGTGGCTGCCCCATCCTAGACGCCGATGATGAGAAAGCAGCGACATCCTGTACTCACCTGTGGGGGGCGCTGGGCTACACCCTTGTCGTGTACTTAAGGCTCACAACGAGCCTTTACAAGTTCTGTTGCTATTACCCTGTTTGCTCTCTCATGTTCAGATGAGGAAACCAAGGCACAGAGAGGCTGAATAAGGTGTGCATTTACCTAAGATCACACGGAGTTAAAACTGGTGTCCCAGCTCCGGTTCTTAGTCCCCACGAGTGGTTCCCCCGTCACATAAGCAGTTCTTCAAACATATCGATAATGGACCTCAGACTAATCGAAGGAGGAACAGGAGCTCTTCCCTGCTCCCCATCCTGGCTGCTCTCTGCAGTTTCCCGGTAACTCGCAGGATTCTTTTCTCTTCCCTGTACGGTCCTCCAGAGTTGTGATGTAGTGGATACTTCTTCCGATGGCTCAACCACACTCATGCCTGGGCCAGGGAAGAACAAGTAGCAAATTCATTAACCAGGAATCTGTTTACAGCCAGTCCCCAAGGTTCCCTGTGCACTCAGCGCTTCTCCACCGTTCAGACTTGCTAATAAAGGAAAGTCTGCATCTTTTCAAGTGCCTCGGTGTTTACAAGTCTCATATTTTACCATAGGAAGCAGCTTCAACAAGCATGTTCATGTGTTGACAGTTCTAATTAATACAAGTAATTAGTCCTGACAGTGGAACTGCGCAAAGAAGACCCATTCATAAATTTGCTAATTATGTTACTCTGCTCAGAATGGAATTGCCGTCTTGTCTTTCATCGTTTCTATATGTGAGCAAAGGGCCACCTCACTAAAGTCTTCAGATCTTCACATTTGTGGCCCATAAAGGAATTGTGTCAAAATTGTTTTCTCACACTGGAACTTAATTTTCCAGTGTTCAGGAATTGGTGAAGAAGTCAGAGCTTTCTGGAGAGAAATAAACGAGAGAACGGGAAGAGCAAGGCGGGAGATGAGAAGTCATCAAGCATGGCCAGGCGCTTTCTTACCCATCTAAATCTTACACCCTTCTCTGCACTTATTTTTATCCCTTTTCTGAAAGCTGAGATAGTTTTATGTAGGCGTTTGGTTATGTTTGTGGTACAGAAAATGTGAAGATTGTTTGTTACTTTCATCCGAGTTGGAGCCCTCTTCTCTCTGATGTAAACGGCCAGCTTTCTCAGGGGCGTGTGTTCTGGAGCAGAAGTTTGCGCCTTAGCCCTGCGGACACTGTGAGCTGGGTAATTCCCGGGTGGGGAGGGGTGGGGAGGGGGTGGGCTGTCCTGTGCACTGTTGGATGTTGAGTGGCATCTGGCTCCACCCACTGGATGTAAGTGCATCCCCCGCTGTGGTGACAGCCAGGTATCTCCAGACACTGCCAGTTACTCCCCGGAGGACACACTCAACACACTCACCCCTGGCTGAGAACCACAGCACTGGAGAGTAACACTGGATAAAAAAAGACTCGTGTCAAACTCTTGTGTAAGACACGTAGATTCAGCAGCAGCCAAGTCAGTAAAGCACATCACTTAGAAGTAACTTAGTAGTACCGATCCCAGATTTGGGAGGCCAGCTCCTGAACTGCAGGGCAGGCAGACCCTAGAGACATCGCAGGTTTGGTTCCCAACCACCGCAGTGGGGCGAGTGTCCCAGTAAAGCCAGTTCTGATCTTTTTCCTTGGTGGTCTTCCTTCAACTTATAAAAAACACGCCACCTGTGGAGCACAGGACAGCAAAGCACAGTAAAACAATGTGTGCCCGGACCCCGTCTCACCTTCGATGGCCCCGCGGTCTCACCTTCGATGGCCCCGTGGTCATCTTCGATAGAAGGTGGAGCGGCATTCAGGAGCAGAGTCACCGCGTCGAAAACCCCTTTGCTTCTCATGGTGCATTCACGGGCTTTTAGCGTCCCGGAGTGACTGCTGAAGGTTTTGACTGCTTCTAGAGGACAAAGGTTTGCGTGCCCAGCTGCAGGTGTTCTCTGTCCCTCTCTTCAGTTCTTTAAATCCTTCCCTCTTCTTCTCCTTACCCTGCTGGGATTTCCAGTCTCTTGTTTCTGTTACTGTTTCACAAGGGCCTTCCCCGTCCTTCCTGCCCAGTCTCCCCACTGTCTGGAAAAACCTCACACAGGGGTGACCCCAGCCACCAGGCTACCCAGACCCCGCACCTGGCTGCCGACCCTGACTGGAGGTCATGACCCGGCAGAGCAGGCTGCGCTCATTATAAATGCAGGTCAACACTTCACCGGTCCTGGACTCTCCCAAGAAAAGGGAATCCAGCTGTAGCTGATGCCCTCAACCTTCCATCACAAAGACTGAACTTACCTGTGTCCACCCCCTTCCTAAACTCATCCCTTCTGACAGCTGGGCAAGAAGTCCTCCTCCCGAAAGCTAACCCTTTGTCCGCCGTAACATCTCAGAAAGACCCTGTGGGTTGGATCATTGCATTCTCCCTTCCGTCTTCAGCCTCCTGTCTCTGCCGGGTCCTTCCGTGTAAGCCTGCCGTAGTCTCCGTCTCCCCGCGTCTGGAAGAGAGGGACCCGTCTCACAGCTGCCTGTTCCTTTCCCTTTAACATTCTCCGAAGAACTGTTTTCTGCCTTCACTTCTCCAGGTTTTCAGTCCTGCTGCTGCCCCCAGTCCTCCAACGGGTTCCTGAGGCCTGGGCTCGCTTCCCCCTCGCCCCCCTCCCGCCTGAGCATCCTGTGCACCATTAACGCTTCACTCCCCCAAACCCCTCTGTTCTCTGCTCCTTTCCCCACCGAGGCCACTCCTGGCTTTCCCGCTGCCACTCTGGCCTCTTTCCCGTCTCCTTTGTGGGCTCACAGCTCACAGCTCACACTCTACCTTTCAATGGTTGTTTTCCTAATGACTCAATTCTAGGTCCTCTCTTTTTCTTCCAAGGCTTTAGTTGCTAGTTGTATTTCGGCAGCCCAGATCTTTTTCTGAGTTTCTGAAATTATACGTAAAGCTACTCAGGGGCGTCTCAGAGGCAGTGAACCAAACTGAATTTGTGATGCCTTTCCGCCCCCGCAGCTTGTTCCTCATCCAGTGTTACCTCCCGGATACCATCCAGTAACCAAGTCCTCTTGATGGCAACTCAAAAAGTGTCTCACAGCCTTCCACGTCTCTCCATGTCCCGCAGCCTGAGCCACGGTCACCTGAGACTGGAGGGTAGGAGGACAAGAGGAGGGAGGGGTCTAAGAGCCAGACACGCAGGGCAGCTGTCATTGTCACAGCTAAAAAGCTGTCCCGTAGGTGCATTTCCAGATGTCTCCTGAGGAGGCATGCTGTACCGATCCCTGATCAAGAATTAAAATTTATCGCCCTGGCTGGTGTGGCTCAGTGCATTGAACACTGGGCTGCAAAGCATAGCATCACCGGTTCGATTCCCAGTCAGGGCACATGGCTGGGTTGCAGGCCAGGTCCCCAGTCAGGGGTGCATGAGAGGCAACCACTAATTGATATTTCTGTCCCTCTCTTTCTCCCTCCCTTCCCCTATCTCCAAAAATAAACAAAGTCTTTAAAAAATAGTATTAAAATTAATCAAAAATACAGTGTAAAAAATTATTCTAATAATGGCTTCTCCGAAAATGAGTTGTAGGATTGTGGATCAGAATGGTAGCAATCTAGTACATTATCATGAATACCAGAAAGCCGTGTGCAGAAAGTCGTGGGTGGGATACGTTTTTAACTTTGGATGTTCTATCCAGGCTCATTGATATAAATACCTGTTAACTCAGCAAATACTTGAGCCACCCTTCTCTGAGCCAGATACCGTGTGTTACTGGATCATGGGAAAACAGACAGATTTTCATGGAATTCACTGTCCGGGATTTAGGGGCACGGCGTGAAGAGGCGGTCCACCTTCTACCTGACGTTCTCAGCGTGATTCCCAGGTCAGCTTCCGCGTGTCAGCCGGGCACTCGTCAGAAAAGCCAGTTCTCAGACCCCATTGCAGACTCACCACATCAGCAACCCTCGATCAGCGTGGGGCCCCGCCCTGAGCACCGGGAGACATTCTCCTTGGGGTGCAGCGGAGTCACCCGCGGGGCCTGCGGAAAGCCGACTGCTGAAACGAGCTGACTGCTGAAAGGAGCCGGCGTTTGGGGCACAGTGGGGGCACGAGAGAGAAGTGCTGCAGTATTTCCCAGTGATGGAAGTGGTGGAGTATTTCTGTGTGCGTTTTGTGTGACGAAAACACAGAAAAGCTGGGTAGGTCAAACAGAGCCAGATTATTGTGGGCTTTGTCTAAAATTTGCATCTTTAAGTTGCAAAAATGGTAGTATACTCTTAAAGTCGGTTCCAAAAGGATTAAGAGGAAATGAAGACGCCCTTCCGTGGCAGCTGTACTCAGTTGTCACAGAGACTGCGGGAGTCGAGGGCCTGAGGCGCTCAAACTTTTTTACAGAAGTTGTCCTCTGTGTTTGATGCCTGTGGTACTGGGGGTGAGGGCAGAGCCAGCTATGACAAACTTATTGAATACTTTGCCTAAATAGGGAAGGAGAGTTCAACCATTTTCAAGAAGATTGTTCCAAGTGTCTTAGGTAAGAGCCTCTGTAGCCGATCGACTCAGTCGCCAGAGAAAGCACCAGGAAGGGGGGCCGCATGGAGGGCAGTTTGACAGACTTCTTTTCTCTTTTGGGGGCTGCGCTCTGCCAACCAAGCTCCCCCGGACTTTTAAAGCCACGTGCATTGTGAAGGACATTCAGTCCATGTGTCCCTGAGTCACTTGTGCCTGAGCCATCGGAATGTTGTTTTGTGAAGGCGATTTCCTGTTTGAAGTAGCTGTAAAGTATTTGTAGGAGATGTTCATTCTTCCTAATGCTAAACGCTTCTTGGTTCCTTGTCTCGTTTTATTAAACACGCTGTGTATCATCCTCACCCACACCCTGCAGTGAGACACAGAGAAAACCTTAAAGCCGGGAGGAAGGTCGAATCCAACATAGTTGAGGCAGCCAGTGTCCCTGTTTGCAGAAGTTCACAGCTTGTCTCTCTTCGATTTCTTATGATGTGTCCTGGGCTGCTTTCACCCCGGTCACCTCCTGCCCCAACCCTCTCCCCCCGGCTCCCCAGAAAGCTGCCCGTGAAGAAGAAGAACAGGGAAAAGAGAAAAAGGAGAAGTAATAGAACCAGGTCGCCTCCCAGGATCTAGTCCCACACAGTGCTGAGGGATACTTCCTTACCCATCACTTTCCCCGTTTACCCACTGGCGTTGCTGGCTGGGAGGATTAAAGTGTCTCACAGGAATGCCCACGAAAGAGAGAAGTTAACTTTCATTTCAGAAGGGGTCCACGGTTTCTCATAATTGGGGCACGTGGATGGTGTCTGCTCGGGGCTGATTGAAAAACGGTTTTGTTTTTTGGAGTCTCATAATATGGAGCACGTTTCACCTGGACCTGCAGCATCCTGGTTTGTGCATGTCTGGCTGTCGGGAACATCTGTCGGCTGCAGGAGGTGACAGAGCATCCCTGGGTTTCGGGTCAAGTTGGCGTCCGTCTGTGCCGAGCGCCGGTCCTGCTAGGGCAGCAGGTGCAGCGTCACACACAAGGAGAAGCATGTCCCACCTGCAGGAACGAAGGTTTAAGGAGTTAACACCTTCACTTCTCATCTTCTTGAGCTTAGGAAATACTTTCCCTCACCCTTTTAAAAAAAAATGTGGTCCTCAATACCGTCCTCAAGATTATGGTTTCTTGGTTTTGGTTGGTTGCTTTTTCACAAGGGGTTTACTTTCCTAGTTCTTTCAGGTGGTTGTGCCTGTTGGTGTGTCCCTCTGTCTCCAGTGGGCTGTCCACTCCACGACAGCAGGGACATCCCATGCATCCTCTGGGGACATTTCAGGACCCATGTGGGCTTCTACTTTGGAAGCTCCACCCCACATCTAAACATATGTAATCCCACCCGTAGTATGTGTGTGTACACTCCTTAAATGATCTTTTACTAAACCCATGTAGACCATTCAGGACAGGAATTCCAAAGTTTATTCTTCCCAGGGAAAGGCTAAGATGTACCTGACATCAGTTTAAGGAAATAATTACTCGGGAAATTGTGAGATGTCTTCTTGCCCTGGAGATGTTGGTGCCCATGAAGCGGGTGCCCGAGGGGAGACGCCTGGTGTGTTGTCCAAAGAAGCTGGGCAGGTGGTATTTCTGTGTCCCCTTTGCCACTCTGCTTCCGCACGCTTTGCCATTTACTCCGAACTGTCCCCACTCGACGACTGCACTTGTTTAGAGTGGAGCTTCGTTTCCTTAGGAGAACTTCGGGAAGCAGTTCCTGGATGTCATCTCACACGTTCACCCCGCCTCCTCTGCCCAGTCCCTGCCAGCAAGAACTTTTCTGACACTGTGAATTGGGGCTGTTTCCCTTTTAGAGAAGAAGATAAACTGGACCAGAAGTCATCCAGTCCAAAAGTTCTGGAGACTGTCATCCTTGGAACTGCCAAGTCTCCTCTTACCCCAGTTACTCCTGTTTTAAGGAGTGACAACCAAATGACAGGAGCCTCGACCTTCTTTGCTCGCTGACAAAGCTGCAGTGGCCTCTCTCTCCCTCGCAGCAGTTTGTGAGCCTTTGAACAACTCCAAGGCCAACAAATGGGAGTGTTCCGTGCTAACATGGTGAGCCTGACTGTGTATCCTGTCAGCTGCCCGCTCCAAGTGCCCCCTTCCGCTCTCCCGGGACGGAGCCCCCCGGGGCTCGGGGCAGGAGGCCGGACTCCCCAGCCCGGCCTCACTCTGGAGTCCACACCCGGTTCCCCAGGCCTCGACGGACAGCCAGTGTGTTTCCCATCCGGGACTCCTTTCCTGAAGCACCTGGTCTAGCAAGCTAAGTAAACATTCGGATTCTGACCCGTTGATGCCAAACACTCAATGTTCTGAACATAATTTGCCATTAAATGCAGGTCTGAGATTTCGTTTGAAATTAGCTGGGCCGTTTGCTCACTCCTGAACCAGGTAGGAAGAAAAGTCTGTTGGGAACACAGAAGTGTTGGCTGGAAGGTGGACTGCCTCCCAGTGCACATTTGAGTATGTGTGGCCTGACTTTCAAGGAAAGCCACTGTTCTAACAGAGTCGGGTTTGGGGCCACTTGGGTGCAAGGCTGACGGTGCCTCGTGGCCGGCTGGGCCATCGGAGTGACCCCTTTGGCTCGAACCCTTGTTGGAACACAGACACCGTTCCACGTGCCGTGTCATAGGCCCGTGGTCAGTGAGAGTGAGGAGAGGTGGGACCCAGGTCCCCAGGTAACACAGCTGGCCCAGGAACCTCGGGCAAACCCGCAACTCTCCTGAACTTTGTTTCAGCAACTCTAAGACAAGGGTGTCTAGGTGATCCCGGAAGCCTAGCTGGCTTCAGGAATTCTGCGTGCATTTAACACCAGTACTGCATATGGGTGTGACTAGACACACTCATTTAAACCACGTGTTTATATTCATTCACCTTCGGCTTAAATAGGCTTTTCAAGGGAAGAACCTGTACCTTACTCGTCCTTATGTCCCCTCAGTGTGGCCCGACACACATAAGTTTTTTTGATTAATAGTGGTTGCCTTAATTAAGGAGAGAGGGCAAGTTACTAAAAATCAAAGACATGACAATCTCAAAAATTTGGTGACATGAGAAATGACACGTTGTAAACGAAAACAAAGGAGAGGCTGGGGTGAGGACTGTGCGAAGACTCGCTGTGCCCTGACCCGGGCTGTGCCTGGTGAGGCAGACCCGCCTTTGTCCGGGCGGCGTGTCCGGCAGAGCCCAGCCACACTCAACTCCGCACCGACACCCAGCAGGGCCTACCCCCTGTGACGTGTCAGCCGTGACTGGCAGGAGGAGGGAGACGAGCCCTCTAGTAAGGCACCGATTGTCACACCAGATACACTGTTGCTCAGCGGAACTACAGTTTGAGAACGTACACGCTTTTCACCAAGTTTGACTGGACTGACAGTTCACCCAGAGGACCCTGCTACTGGCGACGCCAGTGCTGTAGGTGGCCTGCGCAAGGACGCGACACTGCAGTGGTGCGTGCGTTGCTTCGTGAGTCCTGAGTGTCCAGGTGGTTGCTTCTCTTGGGTCTCCTGTTCAGGAAGTGAACATGCACCAAAGGGGCTGTTCGACGTTTCCAGTTGGCTGCAGACTACGTGGAAGTTTGCTCCTGGAGTTGACTTGCACAGGGACTTCCAGGCACCAGGACACTTCAGTGTCTGGTGACATCACTGAGGGCAGGGTGGGTGCCTGCCCGACCCCCGCCCACAGCACAAGGGGCGATGACCCTCTGGAGCTGAGAGCACGAGCGTGTATCTGGACAGCACTGCTCTAATGTGCCCAGCTTGTGCGGCTCAGGCACAGCCTGGGTGTCCTGCTGCTCCCTTCTCAAGTCAAGCATCCCTTCCCCGCTGTGTTCCATCCCTTCCCCGCTGTGTTCCATCCCTTCCCCGCTGTGTTCCATCCCTTCCCCGCTGTGTTCCATCCCTTCCCCGCTGTGTTCCATGTTGCAGATGAGGCCCAGAGCCTCTGCCCTGATGGCCACCTGTGACCCAGTTGCGCTGACTCAGTGCAGGGACTCCATTGAGGGCGTGAAGGGCATCAGGTGTCCTGGGAGCCAGGAAATTGTGTCTAAGGCCAAGAGCTACTTGTTCCCTTTCATCACCAGTTCTATTTCTAACATATAATTGTTCACCTCTGAACTTCTGCAGAGTCCCCCAAGGTTCAGTGTGGTGCCAGGATGCTGAAAGGGAGTAAGGAGAAACCCTTTTTGATGGAGTCGAGGCCCTGAGGCCCTCCCTCAGGGACGACTTGCCTGCCCTCCTCCGATGGTCTGGTCGAGCCACCTCCCGATTTCCCCCCGGGGCCACTCGGGAGCCAAGGTCATCCTACCTGCATCACGGAAAACCACATCTGCTGTCTTAATGAAGGGGGCGGTCGGGTGGGGCGGGAGGTCTGCCTGGAAGCAAAGGCATGGTCAGAGCGACGTGCAGTGAGGGAGGGCGCGGGCGTGCGTGCAGTCCTGCGCCAGGAAGAAGCCCTTGACCGCCTGTGCGAGCTTAGAATGTGCATCAGTCCCCTCCTCATGGGCTCCTGTGGCATTGCCTTGTTACAGGCTCATTCGAAGTTCCGGTGATGCTCGCCGGAACTGGGGTGGGCCGGTGGTTGTGTTGTGTACCTGCGCTGAGCGACAGAGAGACTGCAAGGTGGTCCCTGTTGAAAATAGTCAGCACCCTGGTCACAGGGGCCTGCTTTCCTTTGGAGACCAAATGCAGCGAGGATCGCAGCAGGATGAAGCCCCCCAGGTGTCTGGTCCCACCGATGCAGTGAACATGCGGCTGCATAAGCTGCTCTTGTGGGGCCCCAGCAGCGCGCCCCTGCGGGGCAGCCCGGTGCGGACCTACTGCGCATCATGACCTGGCTCCTCTGTCTGCACCAGCCGCTCATCCAGGATCCTGGACATATTAACACTGCTCCTCCCCGGCCCCCACCCAGGACAGGAACCACCAGGAGACAGAGAAGGAAGGTGTCCCTTCAGCCGTGCTGACCTGTAGCAGCATCCAGGGGGCGGTGTCCCCAGACAGTAACCATCCCTAGTAAACCTCAAGGTGCCCCAGCCTTTCCCACACGCCCGCCCCAGCCCTGCCTCCTCCCTTCTCTCCCTGACCCTGGCTGTTTCGCAGGAGACGGGCTGCCTCGCCCAGCCGCATGCAGCACGTGCGGGGGGCGGTCGAGGGCTGCTTCCACCTTCCGCCCCTCTGGGACTCCCTTCTCCCTGAGAGGAGTCGGAGGGAGACCGGTGGGAATGCACACGGCAGGCTCCGTATCGTTATGGGGACGGGGGAGAAGCGTGACTTCTGAACACTGCAGGCACGACAGACGGTGCCCATGCCGTTCTCGTGATTTGTTTTCCACGCAGAGGTACCACTTAGGTGAAGCCCGTGGCCTTGTTCACTCTGCCCCTGCCCTTGAAAGTGGTGTCCTCTCGTTCTGAGAGGCCCCACACCAGGGTGGTGGCAGGGGGCCTCGTGTCTGGTGCGGGGACCCGAGCTGTGCAAACACCCACCAGCCTGATGAGTCCGATGTGGGAAACCCTGTACAGCTCCTGCCTTTCCTGTAAGAGGGACCCGCGTGGTCATGTGGCGCGGAGCCTTTGATTTCTAAGTGAGGCCCCGGGGGCCCAGCGAGGGAGGGGCCCTCGGCTCTGCCAGCCACAGAGCGGCTCTGGTTTCCCAGTTCCACCTCTCATCTGCACTCGGGCCTGCCCCGCCTCCGTCTGTTCTGCATTCCGCCTCCCCTTCTTCTCCGTAAACATTAATGTGAAATATCTTTACTTGGCCTCTCGGCCTTGTCTGCCCCCTCGTGTGTCCAAAATAGCCGGCTGGAATTCATGAGAATGTTATGTCTTCAGATGTTTATAATCCGAAAGAATCCCTCATGTTTTTTTGTTTTTTTTTTTTAAATAACAGAGGGACTTGGATGTCGGTATTTTCTGTTGGAAAGATGAGCCAAGTTCACAGTGCAGCAATGACGATGTGATGCATTATGTATAATCTGTAGCGTGTCCCGGGAGCAGCGGTAAACCGTGC